CAAACAAATCTATTTTTTATCTTTTTTATCTTTGTTTTGGTTTGATTTTTTGGTTTTGTTTTTTACCGTGTTCATGTAGCGATTAAAGCCTTAAGTTTTAAAATGTGAACCTTGCCCTGAGAGCACAGCGCGGGTGTGCGGCTACTTTTTATCCTAGCGACACTGTAAATACTTTTTCCCTGAACGATGCTTTTGGAATTTGGAAATTCACTTGTAATTATGTGGTACAGCATTAAAACATTTTTCTTGATATCCAAGCAAATGATGCCTGTTGTTTGCCCTGATTTGCAAGCCTGCCTCTGCTTTCCAGCTTGTTCCAAGGGCTGTCGGCTGTCCCACTCTCTGCAGGAGGGCGCTTGCCGTGGGAGCTGCTCATGTTCACTCTGCCCCCATCTTTTGGGTTTGCTGAGACCAGTGGGACCATACGTAACCTGGGGAATTTGCTGCGGGCTGGGGTCTGTGCTCAACAATGAGCTGCTTGTTGCTGCTGACATTGAGGTGAGTTTCTCCCTGTCCTTCAGTACCAGTTCAGGTATTAGGTGGGGCTTCATGAACCTGCAAAATTAGCCTAAAATTTACCCAGGTGGTGTAAATTTTGCTGGCATTGCAAAATGTGGTTATCTCGGGAAATTAGAAGAGTTCTCCAGTGGGATTTTTTTTCAGGATGACACTGAAGCCACCAGGCAGGAGGAGTCTGTCTCCCCTGCCACTGCCTGCATCATTTGCAGCTTGCTGTGTGTCCTGCAAGAAAGGAGGCAGTGACCCCACAAACACTGCTGTCCTTCTCTCACTCCTGGTCCTTCCCACAGCTTCGTCTGCGCTAAGCGAGCCAGGGGCCTGGTGAAAAATCTTTCAGGAGGACATTATTAGCACATTCCCAAGGCAGGACATGGCCTGGCCCCTTTTTTAATCCTTGTGGCAAAGCCTGAGGAACTGGGTGCCCACAGTGGCAGGGCAGGGGTGAGGGGAGGGGGTGTTGGAACGTGGGTGACCAGCACGTTACAGAGCGCGCTTGTTTGCTGCCACACCGGCAGAAATGTTCCCCTTGTCGTGTGCTGAAGGCACCTTAATAAAAACATTGCAGACCTCGATTCCTGATCTCTCAGGAGCCCCAGCTGTATGGGAAACACCCTTAGAAAATGAATCCATGGTATTTTTGCCCTAATTTATAGCATGTGAGCCATAGTCAGGTAACCCAACCAACCAGCCCTCCTGCCAGGAGGCTCAGTGGCTGTCTAGCTTCAGTCTTACCATAATGGGACAGCCCTTTAACGGGGCTTTGCTTTGTTTTCCTTTTATTCCAGTTTCTGTGTGCACAGACAGACAGAAAACACTGTAGGACACACCGGTTCGTATGCACCGGCCCGTATGTGCACTGGCGCATGTATTTATTATCAGGAATATATTACACTTATCTGTACATCATAACTGAAATAATACAAACTCTTCCTGTAATCATTAGCCACATAGTAAACGGGACCACAGATTTTTTGCTGCGTGGGAAACTGTACAGAGGCTCCTCAGCGTGTCCATGGGACACAACCACCATCAGTGCAGAGACGTAAAATACCTGATTTTGCACTTGATAGTTTTTCTTTTCCTTCCCCCCACCCGCCACCACTGCACATCTTTGCCACTGTGCCTCTGCTGAGATGACCCTTCTGTGCCAGCAGCCATGGGAGGTGTGATCCCAACGAGGCCTAATGACACTTTCCTGCAGAAACCCAGAGCTTCCCTGCAGCTTTCCCAGCTCTCCCTGCTCGCTGCCCACTCTCCCACCATCCCATGGCTGTTACCTGCTCCTGGTATCTGGAGCCCCTTCAAAGCAACTGTAGGCTGGTTTTATTGCCACTGCAGCCTTCTGCATTGAATAAAGATTAACCAAATCAAACATCTCTTTAAAAAAAAGACATAAATAAGGGCAATAAAACCCAGCTCAGTGCTGGCTGCGTTCCCTGTCCTGCTAAAGGCCACCCTACCCTGTAAAACAGGAAGGGCCCAGTGACAGCCATGGCATTTGGGAAGTCTCCAGCCGCTGAAAGCAAAAGCTTTTCCTTGCTCTTCTTAGAGCAGGGATGGGCAGGGAGCAAGGACTAGAGATGTGGCCCCCACACTGCAGGGGATGTCAAGCTTGCCTTGCATGGTCACAGCTGCCTCACAAGAGTAGGGGTCACCAGCTTGGCCATGCACTTGGAGGTCTCCATCCCCCTTCACACATACTCTGGGATGCAGAGGCAAAGAGGGACAGGACTGAGGAAGAGCAGGAAAAAGGAATGACCTTTTTTTGGGGGGGAACGTCTGTGTTTCTGGGCTTGCACCAGAAGGAACCACCCTTCACACCCCTTCAGGGATGGATTGCTGGGTCCCTTCTGGTCAGGCAAAAACTTCCTGCAGCTTTCCTAACAATAGGGCAGGCCCCAGAGGCCATGCCAAGGAAGAATCCAGTGAGAGGCAGGATTGGGAGGCAAAAGTTAGATGGGAAAGGGATTGGCAATGACACCAAATGATGGTGGAGCTGGGATCAGTCCCAGTTTTCCCACCGTAAAAGCCCCACTCCCAATTCACTGCTGGAAGCATCTCTTGTATATGAATTTAAATCAACAAAGAGATAAGGAAAGCACCAGAAATAGAGAGAAAGAATGAATAAATTAAAAAATGATGGGCTCAGCCAGCCCTTCCTGGGCCAATAATATGCTCTAGTCTGTTTAGCGTGGAGAAGTTTAGATCAGCATCGTGGTAACAACTCTGGTTGTATTATCTCACCCATTTTTAAAAAGGGTAAAAAGGAGGATCCAAGAAACTACCAACAAGTCAGCTTGACCCATCTGGTGGCCTTCTACAATGGAGTGACTGTGTTGGTGCATACGGGATGAGCAACGGATGTCATCTATCTGGAATTCTGTAAGGCCTTTGACACAGTCCCACACAACATCCTTGTCGCTAAATTGGAGAGACAGGGGTTTGACGGGTGGACTGTTCAATGAATAAGGAATTGGCTGGATGGCTGCATCTGAGGGGTTGCAGTCAATGGCCCAATGTCCAAATAAAGATCAGTAACAAGCGGTGTCTGTTTTGGGACCAGTACTGTTTATATCTTTATTTATAAAGTGGGATCGAGTGTACCCTCACTGACTTTGTAGGTGACACCAAGCTGAGTGGTGCAGTTGATACTCTGGAGGGATGGGATGCCATCCAGAGGGTCCTGGACAAGCTTGAGAACTGGGTCCATGTAAACCTCATGAGGTTCAACAAGGCCACATGCAAGGTCCTGCACCAGGGTCAGGGCAATCCCCAGTATCAATACAGGCTTGAAAGCAGTCCTGTGGAGAAGGACTTGAGGGTACTGGTTGATGAAAAGCTGGACATGAGCAGGCAATGTGTGCTCGCAGCCCAGAAGGCCAACCTTATCCTGGGCTGCATCAAGAGAAGCGTGGCCAGCAGGTCGAGGGAGGTGATGCTGCCCCTCTACTCCATTCTCGTGAGACCCCACCTGGAGTGCTGTGTCCTGTTCTGGAGTCATCGGCACAAGAAAGACATGGAGCAGCTGGAGTGGGTCCAGAGGAGGGCCACAAAAATGATCAAAAGGATGGAACACCTCTCCTGTGAAGAAAGGCTGAGAGAGTTAGGGTTGTTCAGCCTGTAGAAGGCTCAGGGGTGACTTTATTGCAGCCTTTCAATACTTGAAGGGGGCCTATAAGAAAGATGGAGAGAGATTTTTTTTTTACCAGGGCCTGTAAAAACAGGCCAGGACAAGGGGCAACATTTTTGAACTGAAAGAGGGCAGGTTAGACTGGACATACGGAAGAAATTCTTTACGATGAGGGTGGTGAGACACTGGAACAGGCTGACCAGAGTAGTTATGGATGTCCCATCCCTGGAAGTGTTCAAGGTCAGGCTGGACAGGGCTTTGAGCAACCTGATCTAGTTGCAGATGTTCCTGTCCATGGCAGAGGGGTTGGACTAGATGATCTTTAAAGGTCTCTTCTAACCCAAATCATCCTATGATCCTGTGTTCTCATTGTATCAGAATTGTATCGGTGGGATGAATCATGACATTGCAGTAAGTATTGCAGATATCTGTGCATTTAGTAAGTATGAAAGTGATTAAAATTGTACTTGGCAAGGAGGAGCTGTGTGTGCTAGTGTGTGCTAGGTATCTATCCTACTTTCAAGTTGTACTTGCTGGACACGCTAAAATCTAGTAACGCATTTCAACAGTAGTAGTTGGTGGCACATGATCTATTCTAACAAGATGCTCAATTTACTCAGCATCACAGTCTCATGCAAAAGCTGCTACAAAAATAAATTCCTCTAAAAAGGAGAAAAAAAAAATCACCTTTTTTTGTTTGTTTGTTTTTTAAACACTATGGAACAGGCCACAGGCGCTTTGACGGTGATGGAAGCTGTATCTAAGCTGCAGTCTGTGAATCCTGAGTACTTCCCAGGAAGCTGAAGCACAGCTCCCACCCGAGCAGGAGCAGGACAGCAGGGCTGTGCCATCCCACCTCTGCTGACGCGGGGTGTGTGGGTGCCGCTGCAGACCCGGGTAGCAGAGCCCCCCTCCCGCCGCGCTCCCACACCCCAGGGATCTGCTGCACGTACCGGCTCCCGCTAACTTTGCCCGCGGTGCTCCGAGCAGGCATGCATGCAGGCTCCAAGCTGGATAGAAACGCATCCCACAGATCTGTCTCTCTCTCTCTTTTTTTTTTTTTTAATTATGCTCAGGGATAATTTTTCTTGCTAGCAGTGCCCACGAGGGCCCTGCAGCCCGTCACACCCCAGTCACTTCTCGGCCTCACCACCCCCTTGGCTGGGGGTCACCCCAAACCTGGACAAATTTTTTTGCTTCTAAACAGAGAAGTTAAAGGTAGTTTAGCCACCTTTTCCATGAATCTCAAAAGTGCTCTGTAACTTTGTGTAAGCTTTAGCAATGTGAAACAATATATATATGTGGAAGGAATGAAATTCTGACCTCATTTGCGCCCACATAGTCCACTGTGCTCTATTTAGTGTTTCAGATGGGAGGCAGCTAGATCCCTAGCAGGCACCCGGTATCTCATCCTAATACTGGAAACCTCTTGGCCAGCAAAGGTCAAGGATGAACAACTTATTTTCTCCTTCTTGCTTACGGGACTTGAAATACATCAAAATGGACAGGAACTTACAACCAGAGATTTTGATTGTATCCAAACCAGGACAAGGTAAAACAAGACAAGATCTAACTAGAATTTGAAGACACTAAAATCGAAACACGTTAACCAGTAACCTCTATCAAATTTGCTAAAACCCTCAGGTTTCTCATCTCTAGCCTATCTCCACTTACAATACCAATGCTAAGAGTTAAAAAGCAGTGAATGGTACGCGTATCTTGTCTGGTGTTCAATGCAAAGGTGATGGTTTCAAAGGCAGTACTGTCTCAGAATTTGAAAGTCGCTGGTGTTCATGTCACATAGAGTACCACTTGGTGGTCATTTGGAAGGCGCTTCTACTTCTGTGTAACTTTCTTTTAGGTTGGGTATAAATATTCCTGGGAGGCTAAACAGAAATGCATTTCGTTTAGATACAAGTCTTAGGCACGAGTTAGAAAACTGCTGACTGTAATGAAAATATATCAGCACTTAGTAGTATCCAATAATATAAAAAATGCAATTCAGAACATCTTCAATGACATATATATGTGTGTGTGTCTATATATAGGTATAAAGGTACAATACGTACATGTATATAAACACAGACACATATACAGAAATATTCACAACTTGAACTGTTTTTGTAACTAACCTGAAATACTGCAGCAGAAGTTCATTCTGATGAACCAGAAATATAGTATTTTCCAAATTTTGGCTCTAACCATAGTTAAAATCTTAACACACCAAACTAAACATTTTGCTATCCTAGCTTTCTGCTGTCCTAGCTTTTTGCTATCTTTTTTGCTACCCTAATCCATATGTCAGAACCAAGAGCTCCTATACGGGGACTATAAGAGTACCCTGCCTAGTGTAAAGCTATGCAGCTACCGAGCATGCTTGCAGCCACGAACCCCGGGCGCCTATTGATGGTGATACTTCCTTGGATGGTAACGATTAGCGGACTGGAAATGCATAAAAGGCAGGGGACCTTCGGCGTGCAGGTGCCAAATCATCGCCGCGAGGTTCTGACTTTTGCTGGAGACGAGTTCCCTGATGAGCAGCGATAAAAAGAAGTGGATGATGCAGGTGGGAGTTTTACAGGGCTCACGGCATCCCCTTCCTGCAGCTTCCAGAGGAGCTCTTCATTAGTCCTGCTCAGCTTCTTCTTCTCCTCTACTTCTTTCTCAACGTACTCTTGAAGATTAGCGTTCTCCTCTGACAATTGCCTGGAGAGGAAAGCAGGACAACATGTAAGGTGCACCAGTGTGAAGACAGTGGCATTAACACAGCCAGTGCAGGCAGGGGTCAGGCAGGACCCCGAGCCCTTCCTCCCTTCCTCCCTTCCTCCCTTCCTCCCTTCCTCCCTTCCTCCCTTCCTTCCTTCCTTCCTTCCTTCCTTCCTTCCTTCCTTCCACCCCACCCACCTGCCCCTAGGGCTGCAGCTGAGCTGCCCAAGCTGGGGCACAGCTGTCCCTGGGTCTCTTCACTGCTGGGCAAGAAAGGCATCTCCACGAGTCACAGCTGCCCCTCGGTGTCTGACTCGGCCTCCAGGTGTGCCTGTCTTTGCTCAACACCTCTCTGAGGCAGCTCAGCTGCCAAGGCTTAGATGGGATGAGCCCCATCCTTCCTCCATGGCCTTGTGCCTGTCAGCATCATGTACGGCATGCGAAGGTGCCAAGGGCATTGTGCACATATTCCAGACACTTTAGAAATGGCCATTTTACCACAGAGGCAACAGAGTAAAAATTGGAAAGCCCTAAAAGAAAAATTTAACATATTTGTTTCCTTATTTGTGTATCTGAAAGTATCATTCACTGCAAGAACAGGATTCTCCACTCATGGACAGAGGGGACGGAGCGGGTAACTGGAAATTTAGGCTGAGATAAAGCTCAGGTGTGTGCTCACCCCCCTCAGCGCTGGCCTTCCCTGGGAGGATGTGAGCAGGGGTGGGAGTTGAAGAGAGCCCCATCTGTCCCTGTGGGGTCAACCAGGACTGCAGAGCACACCAGCTTCATGTCAGTCCCATGCTCATGCCCAGGCGTGGCCACTCATGTCTGGAGGGGACTTCAGAGCTGGCCCCAGATACTTAGCTTGGGGATGTAGGTAGGCACAGTGGTTTCAGACGTCCTCTTCTCATCAATATTTGCTTGTGGCTGAGTTGGGTTTGGACCCCTGAGAGCTACTATGCAATGAAGCTGTTTGGGGCATTATCCCACCCTGTTCAACACATGGAGGAAGCAGGTGCCCAGCATGGGGTTGTAGCCTCTGTTTGCAAAACCTGTTCACTGGCACAGCAGTTTCTACCAGGGAATGTGGCCATAAACCGTTGTGGAGCCCAGCCCACCCCGGATGAAGCCCAGAGCCCTGGGTTAGCAGGCACTTGTGCTCCCTGCACATGGAGGCTCCCTGCCTCCTGTTGGCCAGGGCTTCTGTTCCTGCACCAGGAAGACAAGGGTCTTCAGAGATCAACCTAACATGGCCTTCCCCAGAAATGGCACCCCCTGCAGATAACCAATAAGCAGCACAAGTGCAGGTTGGGCTCCTTAAATCCTGCTTTCTCCTTGGCTTCAATGCCTGGCCCAACGACCTTCACCCTGTGGCGTTTCACAACGCAGAGCTGCTTGCAATGCTGCCCCATTTTCTCCAGAGCAGCACAGCAGCTGGAGCAGTCCTCAGAGGGGGACAGTCCTGGGTTTTAGGCTTTCTTCTGTCTGATTGAGGACAAAAAAACAAAGTCACAATTCTGTGGACAGCTTGTTTCTCAATCCTGCCACCGAAGAGAGCATGAGAGCTTATGTGCCATGAGCAGGAGAGCATTTGTGGAGTGGCAGAGCAAGAGCAAGAGGTGAGAGAGAGCAATTGCATCCCTGACTCTTCCAACCAGCTGCTATGGCATGCAAAGGGAAAGGAGTCTGTGCTCTCCATGCTCCCCATTTAAGCTGATGGCCTGATGCAGCATGCAGCTCAGCTTCAAGGCCTTCCCTCTCCTCTGTAAAGGGTCATGAGGCTGTGGGTCCTTCTCCAGCTCCTTCCTCCTTGGTCCTAATAAACCCTCTATTCCTGACTCCAACACCAGGAAAGCTTCACCAGCAAGGAAGGGCTAGGGAGCTGTTTTCCCCAGAATGCTCTATAACCTGATGGCTTTTTGGGACGTGGGGCATGGAAATGTCCTATGAGCACTACAACCTCAGTGAGTCTGCTCTCACCTAACCAGATGACTGGTTTTAAAAGAAATGGGGCAGCGCAGGCAGGCTGTGGGACCTGATCGAGATGTGTTTTGGGATGTGTGCTGGCAACACCACCAGCCCAGAGGCTGCATGCAGGAACACCTGGCTTCTGCTGCCCCATCATGGGCAGGAGCCAGGTCCTGATGTGATCAGCCTGGGGCAGCTCTGGGCATGAACATAACCTGATTTACAGCCAGCTTAGCATTCTATAGAAATAAACAGGGAGGCACCTAACCTCCCTACTAGGTTATTTCCAGGGTTCAGGAGCTGCTGGGTGTGGATTTTGGATGCACACACAAAATTCTGCCCAGCTCCTTTTCTGGGTATAGTCTGAAGCCCATAGCAGATGTCATGGACTGCTGATCCACTCTCTTTGTGTCATCAGAAGTCTCTGAGAGGTTGGGGTGGCATTGCTGATTTTGTTTAAAAACATTTTCAAAGAATTTCTGCTTTTTTGACCTCAGTTCCTACAAAATGGAGCAAAGATGATCAAGAACATGTCTGTTTCTCTCTCACTCCCCTGAAAGTTTTGAACCATGAAGCAGCAGCTAGCAGAGTTGAAGGATTAAAAGACACAAGTTGGAAGTTCTCAGAAAGCTGCTTGCCTGGTAGAGGAGAAAAATCATATTTACAGCTCCATTGGGGAAGCAGCTGTGGCAGGAGCTCACAGTCTAAGGGGCACAAGAAAGTACACATGGGAGCTCACCCTGGAGAAATAAACTCCATAGGAAACATCTTGCTACATACAGAATTACTTTTCCTTTTGCAGTGCCTGACAAGACAGGACATAAAAATTATGCACAAAGCCTCACTATGTCCTTTTCCAGCCACCATTCACTGAGGGGGGGGGGGGGGGGGGGGG